CAATTCCACTTTTAAATCAAAACCAAGTTCACGTTAAAAGAAGAAAAGAGAAACTTAACACTGTATCAAACAATGAATGTTCCTCTATTTTCTTTCAATAAAAGCAATTTAACGGACGTAAATTAGAAACAGAATAAAAGCAGATGGAAAGGGAAATACCGAAGGAGGCACTAGTGGAGTTGTGGGCAAGGGACTGGACGAGGCCAAAGGAGGTTCGTCGAATCGCGAAGGTTCTTGGTGATGATCACCATTTTGAACAGAGGTATTAGCGACGGTTGAAATCGAGGAAGTCGACACAAGCTTGTTCTCGTCCACTAGCACGTTGCTCGAGGAAGACGTCTTAAACATAAGTGTTTTCAAAAAATCCAAGCAGTTATATTATTAGATTTGTTAAAGAAAAGATAAAAAGAAGCTATTTACAAATAGCTTTGAAAGTTCCAATTTTTCTGCTACACTTGTTACATGCAGTTTAAGAATAATCAAAACAGTTTTGTAGAAAATTTACAGAGGCATCGGAACTGAATGAACAGACACAAACACATCAAACAGGATGTTCATTTACTACTTGAAATATAAAAAAAGTATTTTGCTCTCTGAGAGACTTAGATAACTTTGATAACTGAACACAGAACCATATCACCGAAAGATTATAAAGAACGTATTGAGCTAATTAAATTTGGATAATGTGATATGGACAATGTCATTCGAGAACAAATTCAAATCATTTGGACAGGGTCGCGACAGTTGACACAATCACGTCACAAGTCTTTTAGTGACTAGTACGATTTGTAAAGTGATCATAGACTAGAGAATATACAACAACCATTTAGGCACACTTGGACAACATGGAGCAGCGGTAAAGTAGCCATCATAACTGCACATAGATAGAAACAACGATCAACATGTTAGAAATAAGGTAAAACAACTTCGATATACGCAGCTACTGCGATTCATCAAGAGCATGGAAGTGATTAGGTAGTGATAATGAGTTCAATACCTTACTTGTATTTGAAAAACGAAAGAACTTGGAAAAAGGCACGAGCTGCTGGCAAATATAAATGTGCCGAACGCTTAAGCCGAAAACAGGGATTTGCTACCTACGTTAAGATGGTTCTGCCATAAAAATTAACAACGAAAATCATCTGACATCAAGTGGTACTTCCCAAATATCGGCATAAACGTCCCCCCTTTGCTCAACATGAGACGAACAGTTAAAATGAACAGTCAGAATATGTATGAAGTCTGAATACCTCCCTTGAAAACACTTACCGACGATGTAATTGTTCTATCGTCGATTCGAGGCATAGATGGTTTGTTATATCCGTCACATACGAGAATACGCAATTCGTTAGAAGAACGAAGGATTGTCGCCGCTTCGGATTGATCACAACCCAGCAACGAGTCTCCATTTACTTCTATCAAACGGTGTCCAACCTGGAGGCCTGCTCGATGACAAACGCTCGATGGTTCCACCTACAGAGTGCATTTCATTAAAAAGCAGAGTCAGTAAAAGGTTATGTGAGATCGACAGGTTTTGAGGGAAAACACGTTGTCGCCGTCATTGCTATTCCTCTTCACTGATCGAACAACCTGGTGTGGCCGCAAAGCACGCAAGCTTTCGATCAATGCGGACAGAATATTAGTGTTATGCTTGCTTATAAATTATTTTTCAGTAAGAAATAAATTCGTTTCACAATAACCGTTCTGCCTTTGGCGATGCATATATTCATCTCTTTTCATATACAAAGAAAAAACTCAATAGCAATTGAGTAAATTTCTATTGGCTGCAACATGTGTACATCTCACCTCATCTCGTTTCCTTCTGTTGTAATTATGTGTTTCAAGGAAAGTTATAAGGGATTAGTTAAGTCCTTAACGAACTACGATTGACAAATACTTAGCATTAAGGGTATCTCCATACTTCATTAGGATCGGCAGACCGAGGGTGCGCGGCGGTTGCGTTGCGGCTTTTTGTTGAGTGCCGATTTAGCGCGATTCGCCTCTATCCAAACCTTTCCGCACTTTTTTCTTCCGATTTGACCCGCTTTCTTTATTCAGAGATGTCAGAAGTCGTTAGCAGGTGTGCCGGTAAGATGAGGACGGAACCCCAGGGAAAATGGTATTTGACTGCGGCACAGCAACGCAACCGCCGCGCACCCTCGATCGGCCGATCCTTATGAAGTATGGAGGTACCCTG